AGCAAAATCTTGAGTCATAAGTAAACTTTATTCGTCATATTCAACCCATCTGAACACATCCCGCAGTCACATCATACTCATCATATAGCCATTCAACCGCTCATCGAGCCACAAATTTCCACTCATAGGGACACTACCGGTCGCATAAGTCTAAACGCACAAGTTCTCACAACCGAAGCTATCGAGCTTAAGCTGCGACCTAACCCTGGCCTCAAGTCCTCCAGACTGGACCATCACCAAAACATAGAATACTCATCTCGAACCTCGTTCATGGAATCACAAGTCAGCGATTCACAACTAATACCGAGCGCTCACATACGCACACGAATGCGTGGAAGGAACTCAAAGAGTTATGCTTCAAGCTGAATCAATTACGCACGACAGAATATAAGAAAGTAAAATTTTCCTAAGGGTTCGGCAACCCATCGAAGATAAGTACAGACATCTCCGTACCGATCCGCAAGACTCTACTAAACCTACTCATGAGTCGTGAGACCTATGTAACCTAAGCTTTGATACCAACTTGTCACGACCCAAAATCCTAACCTGTCCTGATGGCGCCTATCTCAATACTAGGTAAGCCGACAATGTCAATAACCCATATTTTTCTTTTAAGTTTGAAAACATAATAATTTAAATTTAATAAAAGACCTCACAATTTTAGATACAAATACACACCCAAAACCCAGTGTCACTGAGTACATGAGTATGTATACATTACAAATCTGGAAAATACGGTCTATAATAGTCTGCAATCAAATACAGTAAACAAGGAGATAGGGAAGGGGAGACAAGGTCTGTGAAACACAGCAGCTACCTCTGAATCTCCGAAAAAAAAAATCAACTGTGCGAAAGAATCAACACCCACTGTGTCCGGAATCACCTGGATCTGCACATGAAGTGTAGGGTGTAGTATGAGTACAACCAACTCAGTAAGTAACAAAAATAAATAAAGAACTGAAGGTAGTGACAGGCTTCATGGCTAAGTCAAAATACAGTAATTTCCAACATAAAAGGGTAGTCATACTCTCAAGTTCAACATTAAAAATTCCACAATAATTTCATATAAACTTCGACTGAAACAGAAGATAATATCTTTTAGAAATTTTTCAAAAGCAGTGATATATGATAGCTGAAATGTAGAAATAATGAAATCAATGCATCCTCTCACACTAACAGTTACTCAGCTCTCCCATTCACTCCAACCTCACAGTCACCCAGGACTCGACACTCGGCACTCACATTCGCACTGGCACTCACACTCGCACTCACACTCGCACTCAGTTGGTACCTGCGCTCACTGGGGGTATGTACAGACTCCAGAGGGGCTCCTTCAGACCAAGCGCTATATCAAGCCAATCATGGCATATAACAATGAAACATGCTGCGGCGCGCAACTCGATCCCATAAATATCCTCACAATTAGGCCCTTGGCCTCACTCAGTCATCAACCTCTCCAGTTTCTCGGGCTCAAGATGTCATGAAAATCAGCCAAAAATGATAATATGATGTATCAATAAATAGCAACAGAGACTGAGATATGATATAAAATGAATGAACATGACTGAGTGTGAAATTACAATTTGAACATATAATTCAACCACAAAAATGACCCCAGTGGGTACCAATAATAACAGCATATGTCTAAGCATGATTTTTAATACGAGTCTCAGCTCAATTTTCTCTAATACATAGAAAATATACTGATATCAACAGATTATTCAACTATACAATTCTATGAAATTTGACCAAGTCACAATTCCTATGGTGTACGCCCACACACCCGTCACCTAGCATATGCGTCACCTCAAAACCAATCACATAACATATAATCCGGGGTTTCATACCATCAGGACCAAATTTAGAACTGTTACTTACCTTAAACAGTGTAATTCTTTATTTCGCTATGCCTTTACCTCGTGAATTGGCCTCCAAACGCCTCGAATCTAGCCACAAATAATTCGATTCAGTCAATAAAATTTATTGAAATTAATTCCATAAGAAAATACTAATTTTCTAACAAAATCCGAAATTTAGCTCAAACATCGCCCATGGGGCCCATGTCTCGGAACCCGACAAAAATTACAAAATCCGAAAGCCCGTTCAACCACGAGTCTAACCATACCAATTTTACCAAAATCCGACCTCAACTCGACCTCCAAATCTTCAAATCTTATTTTCAAATCCTTAAGTTCAAATCCCCGATATACACCTCAAAAATATGTAATCTGGTCGGATTATTCGATGATAATTCAATATTATGGAGTAAAAATGATCACAAGTGATTTACCTCAAGATTTCTCTTGATTTCTCGCTCAAACATCGCCTCACCTGCTTTTGGAAATGTCAAAAATGACAAAATTTCTCGGACGCTTATGTTTTGTACACTGCCTAGTGCTTTCGCACCTGTGGCTCACTAAGCCACTTCTGCGGCCAAGCTGTAGCTTCTACGACTAATCACGCTTCTGTGGAACATAGTCCGTATCTGCAGACACGTTTCTGCGAGGAGCTGCCCGCATTTGCGAAGCTGCCTCACCAAGCGCCCTTGCGCTTCTGCGATCAAACGCCCTTAGGTGCGGGGCCGCTTCTGCGATCGAAGCCGCAGCCACGCCTGGACGCATCAGCGATGGAAGGCTCGCTTCTGCGAGCTCGCACCTGCGATGGAATTTCTGCAGGTGCGATTGCATCAGATGGCAGAAACTTTCAAATTTTCTTCTAAGTACGAATTCGATCCGTTAACCATCCGAAACTCACCCGAGGCCCCCGGGACCTCAACCAAATATATCAAAAAGTCCTAAAATATCATACGAACTTAGTCGAGCCTTCAAATCACATCAAACAACGCTAAAACCACAAATCATACCCCAATTCACACCTAATGAATTTTGAAACTTTTAATTTTTACAAACGACGCCGGAACCTATCAAATCACATTCGATTGACCTCAAATTTTGCACACAAGTCATAAATAACATAACAGACCTATTCAAATTTTCAGAATCGGATTTCGACCCCGATATCAAAAAGTCAACCCCCGGTCAAACTTTTCAAAAATTTGACTTTCGCCATTTCAAGCCTAATTCCACTACGGACCTCTAAATAATTTTTCGGACACGCTCCTAAGTCCAAAATCACCATACGGAGCTATTGGAATCATCAGAATTCAAATCCGAGGTCGTTTACACATAAGTCAACATCCGATCAACTTTTCTAACTTAAGTTTTTAATTATGAGACTAAGTGTCTCATTTCACTCCGAAATCCTTCTGGACCCGAACCAACTAACCCGGTAATTCATAAAACAACTGTAAAGCATAACTTGAGCAGTAAATAGGGGAACGGGGTTATAATACTCAAAACGACCGGCCGGATCGTTATAATAGAAAAACTTCAGTTTGATTTCTAAAGTTGCATTGAAGAGATTGAACTGTTTCAGATTTGAATTTCTGAAGTTGCATTTGAAAGATAGAAAAATTTCAGATTTGATTTCTAAAGTTGCGTTTAAGATGAAAATGCCTCATTCGCAAAAAATATCTTTTCCCGTTTAACCAAAATTTGGACTCCAAAGTTTGGTCATTTAGCACTTTCTTGTTAATTTGAATAAGATAGATACTATTTGTGCACTTGAAAGCTAGAAAGTCGGAATACCATATCCCTTAAGTCCAATTATCCAATGTGGAAACGTCACTCTCCAATTTAGATTTAGTAGAGTATCGAAGAATATTTTGAACAACCAGAATAGCATCACAAACTCTTTTAAGTAGAAGAATGCAATCTTTGGAGCAGAAAGGCATCAGAATGGAGTGGGATTGACCCAAAGGATGTAGTTTCCATTGCTGAAACCAATCTCTTTGAAAATCTTGGCCTTCAGAGTTTTATCAATCTCTCTACCAATTTCTACAACAGTCCATCCAAAAGAACCCAAAGTTTGAAAGCTTTTGTTTAATTGAATTGGCTAGTATTCTGAGTTCAGCTTTATATTACCATCTTTGTTTTTATTTATTTATTAGATTTAACTTATATACACGAATAGTTTAAAGAAATTTATACACTATCATGTCACTTTTACTTATTTTAGCAGGTAGCCCACCTTATATAAATCTGACTTTTTTTTTTGGGGATTGTAGTCTGTAGATATATTTTGGATGCTCTAATAGTATAAGAACTACTTTACGATATCGGTATATTGGGGTTGATTGGATGGTTAATATTCACCTTCTTTTCCTCAAAAAAAAGAATAGAGAGCTACCATCTTATGTTTTACCCTTCTTGAGGGGATACGTTTTACTCCTTTTTTGGAATTGAAATTAGTGTGTATGATGATGAAGAAGAGTAGTTTCGTTCAACTTTCGCTAATTCAAGTAAAGAAGATGCCATTAGGAATCAATATGAGTTTGCCTAATTTGTATTCTCAGAGGAAAGGTAAGCTAGGGTTTCTTAAAGACCATTTTTCCTATCCTTGTTTATACCAAGTTTCAATTTGCCAATGGTAGTTACTAGTTACAAGTTACATTGTTCCAGTAAGGATACTTCTATGCACATATATAGTTCGCCTTTGTAATAGTTAACACTAGATAATTTGTCCGCGCTTCGCACGATCGTAAAATACCTTTTTAAATTTTGAAATATATCATTTAGCTTTAACAGTGGAGATTGGAGATATAAATTTTTCAGCAGAATGATAAAGACAACTATCGTTAAACCAATTGAACATTCACTTGAAACTACAACTAAAGTTGTGACTTTGAGAATTAAATAAGTCACTAACATATCATCTGAGGAAGTACACACTGAAGAATCAAGTGTAGCATAAAAGATATCTTAGTGCTTTAGAAGGTTTACTAAATGCTTTGATCTCTCAACATCTTTGTAATAAAAGTGACAATTGGAGGTAATGCATTTGAAATGAATATAAGAGCAACAAAATTCACCTTTTGCCATATGAGTTTAATGTTTAGTGTATATAGAAATCATGAAAACTGCATATTCTTTCTGGGCGTGTTAACTGAAGAATAATATACAATTACTGATCAAAAAAATAATGATACATATTTGCTTGGATTATGTGATGATTATAAGTTTTTCTCGCAACATCTTCCTCACTTTAGTACTAACTTGATAATTTGAGTTTGTTTCAACGGTAGTATATGCATTTTCTTTCAACAAAAGTTACAAGACTTCATTGTTTCTTGTCAGACTTTTTGTAAGCTATTTATGGTCTTTGTAATATTTACTACATGACTATTTCTCATTTCTCGGGTGTCTCACAGTTTGTTATTGCTTTGGAGGGTAATTATTTGAATGTTCAGTTGTAGCCCTGCATAAAAAAAGTACTTATTTCGTTACTAAGTTGCAGTAACATCATCTAAGTAAGACTGCACTATAAATATACTCTATGTTACGAAATATCAAGCAAAAGATCAAGAGATCCTATATACTTTAATACTAAGTGCAGAACATTCAACTTCAAGATTAATAAGACATGGAGAAGGTAACAGGAAGAGTTTTCGATCAGCACATCTAATTTAGGGAAAACCTTGTCAGAATATTAAAGGTTTACCTTTTGTACTTGAATAATATTAATTATCAAGTATTGTACAATATCGAACAAAAAAGAGATCAAGGAATCATGAAGCTATAAGGTACTCGAGCTTTTTGATCCCTTGAAATCCTTTAAACCTTTGGATTCAACTCTCATTTTTAACATGGAAGCAATATAAGTCTGAACTCCAACCCATTAGACGGGGCATCAATTAAATGATCATTTGAACTTCTAGACCTTAAACATGAAATGGAGCTACTAATAATTTTTCTCACTCGCTGCGAATAGAGAGAGAGCTATATAAACGGCAGAGGTCTAAAAGTATGTTTGAGGAAACTAACATGCAACCCATGGGATCTATGATTAGAAAGAAAGCTTACATGCTATTAAATTGATAGGCTAAAAATAGAGATATCAACACCGTCCCCGCTACTGCCAAAATAAGCTCGAAACACCAAGTGACGAAACACACACAGAGATGAGAATAAAACCATATACAATGCAAATCCAAAAGAGATAATAAATAAATTATTGGTTATTTGATGATAGTGAAATGTTTTGAGAAATAGACTGAAAAAATCTGTTTTGCTACGTTTCTATCAAGGCTTATGTACTACTGCTGAACATCATAAGAAACCTACGTATTTTTCTACTTTAAGTATCCGATCTATTGTCTTTGAAACCCTGTTTGGATCCTTTTGCACCCACCCCCTCTCCCCTCCCCGCCACTTCATATCTTTCTTTTATTTTTTCTTTCTTCATCCATTTTTTTTTGTAGTTAGTCACTATTTGGATTATTACCTTAAGAAGGAAAGGTGAAGAGAGTGACAATTCTTATTAATTGTGCTTTCTATCTTTTCAACAATCATACAACGTAACATAATTATCTTAGTTTTCCTTTTTTCAATCTTTGTCTCTTGCAAATCACTCTCAAAAAAATATTGTGACATTCAAATGGTAAGGAGGAGGAGGAGGAGGAGGAAGAAGAAGAAGAAGATATAAAAGTTTCACCCAAATCCATATGCTTAAACTCATACCTTGCCAAAACCGAATATCAATTTGAAGACGAACACTGTGAAATCCAAATGGAATGGAAAATGACAAAGAGTAAAGAATTTCACTGGAGTACCCCTAGCGACTCATACTCTCTCAAAACCTGATATACAAAGTGAAAAAGAAGAAATTTAATACATAGATACATGAGATAAAACACCATTTGAAGTGCAAAAAATTTGTACCAAATTTGAATAGCATAATGATGAATGTATCCAATTCTAACATGCATAAAACACACATTCCTACACAATTACGCAACTTAAACTATAAATACAAAAAATAAACAACCAAAAAGAAAATCTAATAAACGCAAAGTCATACCAAAGATGGAATCTAGAATATTGTTTAACATCAAAACATAAACTCATAATTAGGATAACTAACAAAGAAATTCAGAAAGCAGCAATATATATATATACCAACCAATAAGGAAAACAAAAGGTTGTATCAATTAAACCTTACTAGACTCTCATGGGCTCATGGCCCTTTGATCATGTTGAAAAGTGATGAAAAAGTAAAACTTCTAAATCCATATTAATGAATGCAGCAATGTCAATCTAAAAAATAAATCTTTTGAAACGTGGGTATGAGAACCAAAACCTCAAAAGTCAAGCAGTAGACTTGAACAACAAAGGAACACATTAGAAGCGAATCAAAATAATGAGCAATCTAAACAGATGAATATGGAAGTAATTAAGTTATGAAATAATAAGTTTAAATGGAGGAAGGATCACAGGTAGAGGTTACTTATTTAAATTGGACGCGTATTTAGAAGAGATATATCAAATTAGTTTTTTTCTTTTAAATAATAAATCAATATATCTAGAAAATAGAATAAAGGCAAAATATTTATGAAGAAAAATAAATAGATCCTTGAAAGACTTTAAATGATGATAAATAAGCGGAGAATATATTTCCATTTGAGTAGCACATAATGTATCTTTATTTGGGTCCAAAATTTGTATATACAAACGACATATCAACCGTAAGAAAGAGATTATCAAATTTACTGCACTTAAAGTAAAGTTTCAGGCTTCTCAATCATTATTATCAAAATTAAGCTGCTAAAAAAGGTAAAACACTCCAAAAGACTTATTTCTAATGGGTATCCTAAATAAAACATGATCCTTATACAATCCAACTAAAAAGTATAAACCAATAAACACTCCAGAAGACTTATTTCTAATGGGTCACCAGTCTACCTTGTGCTTCCGATGTTTAAACTTTGTCACAAATCAACACTATTTGTCTGTCACAAAATCAACACTATTTGTCATTTATTACAAAAATCAAATAAAATAAGATCGGCAAAAGAATCAGCAAAATTAATATGCATTTGTCTACTTTCCATCTAAAAATTCATATTGATCGAATATAAGTAAGTGCTAACAGATTATGTAAAGAAACATATTAGATGTTCTCTGAATTGATGTAAACATCGGGTGGAAATGATAAAATATGTATCATTAAAACTATTACTCGCAAGTTTATGTTAGTGTCTAAGTGAAGCAAATTCGGGCAGTACACACAGTAATTAAGTAGAAATAGATCTTGGTGCAAAAATTAACTTAGAAGAGAAAGGGGAGAAGGAAAACAATACCAAGTAATGATAATAGTGGTTGATCTTTTACTGAAAAAAAATACTTCTCTTCTCCTTTGTGATTGAAGCACCAAAAAAGTGAGGCCAAGTGACGAAAAGCTTGAAATTATTGTGACAACATCTACTGAAATCACAATCAAAAATTGTTTTTTCAATTTAAAAAAATCAAGAGAGAAAAAAATGAAGAACAATCTGGAAAATACACTTTCAGTTTTTCATTTACCGACCCTTTTTGTCGCTTAAGTTACCAACTTGAATGAAAACTATTGGGTTTCAATTCAGATCACCACATGTGATGCAATTTTGACATTGGCTAGGGTTGTCCAAATTGCAAAGAAAGGAAAGAGTAACAACTTTTTTCCCATGAAAAAGAGAGTAGCAGCAGAATAAAGGGTTTGTTAGAAACGGTTGGAAACCATTATTAAGAGGAAACGTTTGGGTTTCCCAAATAATTTAACCGTTTACTTTTTCAGATATAAAAGGGAAAAAATAGGAGGAAGCACAAAAAAATTGAGAGAAAAGAAAAAGGCAATCCCCGTGCATTGAGGCATGCNGAGTTGAGTTAAAGAATCAAAACAAATTAACAGGATGTAAGCATTGCAGCCACCGCTAAGCTAGCTGCAGTTTAATTGACAATATTGATCAAAATACTCATGACAATGATGTGTAATAATGAATAATAGATCATATATCCTTTAAATTTTAGAACCTAGTTCTGGATCTTTGAACTACAATATCACGAAGTTACAATGTAAAAATAGTACGGGCTAGCCAGTTTTCGGACTGGTAATTCAAAAATAGCTAGCGTTTGTCAACTCATTGAAAAATAGCCACTATTTTGCTGCAACACAGACCGGTCCAGCATAATATACTGGAGATTGGTGCACCTGTGTATGAACTTCCAACATATTATGCTGGAACTCTAACACGCGAAAAGTTCCAGAATAATATACTGAAGATTGGAGCACCTGCGTATGAACTTCCAGCATATTATGCTGGACCGATATATTATACTGAAACTCCAGTATATTATGCTGGAATATTTTTCGAATTTTGAACAGTGTTTTCGTTAAGATTTATCTTTACATGAAAAGTGGCTAAATTTTGATTATTTTTGAAATTATGGCTATTTTTCAATTACCATTTGTAAATGTGGATATTTTTGAATTTCTCCCGGTTACAATGGGTTTGATGGATACCACGTGTTGGTTATTCAACCACATATTAGAAGAAAATCTTCACTCCACCAAACATGAAATCTCATGATAAATGAAAGCTAGCAATTTAATTGAACAAAGAAAAACATTTGACCAAGACAAACACAAGAAATCTTAGGAAAGACTTCATTTGAACAACAAAATTTACAAATTTTTATTTACAAGCTGTTACAACTTTTTCTTTTGGGAACTGAATAGCTTTTATATATATAAAGGGAATCTGAGTTCTCTTGAGTAGTGGTAGCATTGTCTAGTATTGTATCAATATTACAAACATCAGTTTTCCTTTTAAATACAATTCCTAGGATGTCTTCCCATACTGCTTCGTTTGCAAACATCGGAGGAACTTCCAAAAACTGAGTTCCTTAAAAAATATCCTTCCTAGCTCCTTTCTTGGCGAGGAGATCCGCTACTTGGTTCTGCTCCTGGTAGCTATGCCCTATTACTGGATTCCCCAGCTGCTCCATCATTGACTTGTATTTATAAATAATAGGGTTATAAATCAGATTACCATCCCTTATCATGTTTAACACAGGTAGGGAGTGAACATTTTCTCAAGTGCAATTTTCAGTCTCTACCAAAGGCCTTGTAACTCATCCATTATGCTGGTGGTATGTGGTAGCCCCTTCATGTAGCCCATGATTCAATCTCCCGTATTATTTTTGAATACCCCTTCAATACCCCATTTTCTCGATGTTGTAAATGTAGGCCCATCAGTATTTAGTTTGTAAAACCCAGCATCAGGGCGCTGTCATTTAAGGTAAAGAATAGTCGTGTTAGGGGGTGTGATATGTTAGATATCCACATGGCAATATTCAATTGCCCTAGCAATCGTTTAGTTAACAGGGATGGGATTTTTTTTCTTTTCAATGACATTAGTGTTTCTGGTTATCCAAATACTCCAAAAGCAGAAGGAGAAGAGGAACTTCCAACTAATACAAGCATTCAAGGGTAATTTTTGAAGTTTATGTCATGTTTCCTCCCAGTTTTGCATAGTGAGGGATGAGGGAGGGAGGGCTGGAAAGCTAGTGCAGTTCAGCATCATTTTTAGCCAGAAGTCTTTTACATTAGTGCATTCAAAGAAGATGTGGTTGATGTCTTCCACATCCCCTACATAGTAAGTGCAATTAGGGTTGATATTCATTCCTGTGTGATGCAGGTATTTACTTGTAGGCAGTCTATTCTGGTGCATTAGCCAGGTAAAGAACTTAATCTTATTTGGAACCTGTAGTTTCCAAATTCAACTAAAGTGATCTTCCTGGACAAAATTGTGGATCATGCAGGAGTCAATGAAGGAATAAGCAGACTTGGTAGAGAACAACTAGTGGATGTAAGGTTCCATATCAGCTTGTCATCAGTCATGGCATTGAGGGGAATAAATGTGCTTTGGATGATGGTGGTAATGTCTTGAGGGATGGGGCAGTGGATGGAACTAAGATCCCATACCCCATTGCAGTATAGAGTATTGACTTTCCTGGTCAGATCAGCCTGCTGCTAAGGCCCTCTGAGGATGGATTTGAGTGGCTGCATTTTAGGGATCCAAATATCTTCAAAGAAGTTAACTATGTCTCCTTTGTGGAATACCCACCTAGAAGCTTTAGATAAAACCTTCCAACCTCTTGGACACACTGTTAGGTCCTAGTGTTTGCCTTGATCCTATTCCCAGTCCTACTATAGTGCTTACCCACGTGAATCCTAGTCCAAATAGAGTTAGTGTTGTTATACAATCTCCAGGCCAGACTTGTATGGCTAGCCTTATTCTTCATGTGGGCTTGTTGCAACCCCAGTCCCCCCTGTTTTGGGGCTTAATGACAATGTCCCATTTAACCATGTGCAGTTCTTTTTTTCTTGAGGTGGTTCTCCAGATGAAGTTCCTCTGAACCCTATCAATTTGGTTGGTTATGTGGGAAGACAACTTGATGTACTGCATTACATGGCTGGGGATGCTATCCAGACTTGATTTGGCTAGAGTAGTATGGTCAGCTATGTTAAGGAACTTAGTTTTCCAGCCTGCAATCTTAGTGTTGAGGCTATCAAGAATAAATTGAAAGTAATTGATAGTGGGCCTTTTGTGAAAGATGGGGAAACCTAGATACTTGCCAAAGACAGAGCTAGTTTTAATACCTAAAATAAAGTTACAGTGGTTAGCCCAGTCCTTTTTGCAGTTGGCAAAGAAAATGACCTTAGACTTTTGGAAGATGACTTTCTGGCCAGAGGCATTATTGAATTCCTCAAGGGCATGTAAAATGATTTCACAATTTTTCCTATTAGCCCAAGCAAACAGGGTCAGATCATCAGCAAAAAACAGGTGGGAAATCCTAGGGCCTCCCCTGCTTATACTGATAGGAAATCAATCTTTGTTCAATACTGCATTCTCAATATTCCTAGAGAGACTTTTCGTGTAAATAATGAGCAAATAAGGAGAGATGGGGTCTCCCTGCCTAATGCCCCTAGTTGGGATAAAATACCTCGTCCGATCTCCATTTACCAGAATGGAGATGAAACTGGTAGTTAGGCAAGACATAATCAGAGTGATCAACTTATTGGGGAATTTAAAGAAAGAAGGGACTCTTATGAAGGACCATTCTATTCTATCAAAGGTTTTTTCTAAGTCAAGTTTTAAGATCATGTTAGCATTCTTCCCTTTTATTTTCTGAAAGTGATTTATGTACTCCTGGACAACAATTGCATTGTCAACAACCCTCCTACTAGCTAGAAAGTTGATCTGGGTTGGCCTAATGATTTTGTGAAGGAAATGCTTAATTCTGTCGACAATAATCTTAGTGATAAGCTTGTACATGATGTTGCACAGTCCTATAGGTCTGAGGTTTCTTAACATAGTTGTATTAGGATATTTTGGGATCAGGCAAAGATAGGTTTTGTTCACTACAGAAGGCATAGTGCTAGAGAAGAATACCGATAGACAGTAGTTGTTCATCTGATTATATAAGATTTGCCAATATTTTTGATAGAAGAAGGGGTGAATCCCATCAGGCCTAGGGGCTTTCATGGGTTTGAAGAAATTTATGGAACATTTGATCTCATATATCCTTAGGAGGGAATCCATGGTTGCTTGATTTCTGCTTTCTAGGACATTTATTCTATCCACATTGTGGGAAAACTGCCTATTGGAGAAATGATGATCAGAGGTGAAGATCTTGGTGAAGTAACTGAGGATGGCCTCTTTAATGTGGTGGGGTTCTTGGATCAGATTACCTACTTCATCTTTCAAAATAAGGATCATGTTTCTCCTCCTTCTATTAAGAGTTGATGTGTGAAAGAATTTGGTGTTAGCATCTCCCTCACTCAGCCAATTTAATCCTAGATTTCAGCTTCCAGAAATCCCTTTCATTCTTTAGAATGCCATTGAATTCATGTAGGAGATTAGTTTCTAACTCCTAAAGGAGGCTGCTAAAGGAATATGCATTGGACTTTTAGATGCCAGTTAGCCTAGCAAGGATATGTCTTTTCCTACGGAATATGTTATTAAACACATGCTTATTCCAGATGGTTACCCTACTTTTAAATTCCTCAATCGCTCTAAGGATATCATTAGCATTTGAGAAACTGTCTTGCACAATTGGCAGGAACTCAGGGTAGTTGCACCACATTGATTCAAACCTAAAGGGTCTATTGTGTCTAGTTTGGTGCTGGCTCAGAATATTAAGGAGGAGAGGACAATGATCAAAATGGGTTCTAGGGAGATGGGTAATAGAAGATTTAAGAAAAATTTCTATCCACTAATCAGTTGAAAATCACTTATCAAGCCTTTCTAGGATCAAATCCTGCCTCCTAGTATATCTTTTATTAGTCCAGGTGTATTTAGACCCTTTGAAGCCAAGATCCACAAGCTTATATTGATTAAATAGTGTTAGAATCTATTGCTTCTGTTGATGTTCAAACCGTTCCCACCCTGTTTATCCTAGCTTTTAGGATTTTATTAAAATCCCCCCTCCAACTAGCCATCTACCCTTATAAACTGATGCTAAATCTTCTAAAACCCCCAAAGCCTATTTCTATCAGTTACTAGCATAAATAGCAGAAAAGAGCCAATTAGAAGAGGAGAGGATTACCTTCACCATGGCATGAATACCTTGAGGTATGGTGGAGTCCTCCTCAAGCTTGACAAGATCATCATTCCACATAGGCATAATACCACCAGCTTGGCCAATGGAAGGGGTTTGGAATTGGGAATCAAATTGAAGCTTAGCAGTG